ATATTCATCAACTGGAAAAGCTTAACTTACCTGAACTTTTGCCACAGGTGAACTTAAAATCATTTCCATAGTTTTCTGTAGACGAATAATCAAAGAACGTAAACCCGAGACTTTTTAAACCCTTTTTACCAAGATCACAAATAACATTAATCATTTAACATATATTTGATTTTGTCACACTAGTAATTTTGGAATAAAAATTTACTTTTGTGCAGTATATGTTAGTAATTGCTACCCTATCAATACGTAGAACTCACGTTGAGTGTGACCAGTCAACAGGGAATGCTTACCCCTACTATGCACCTGATCCCACGTCTTTTGTCAGGGGCCAGTGTTTTATATCCTCTTTACATATCTGTATCGTTCATTGAATTTTGTTCACGTCGATCACTGTTCGTTATCTAAATCTTTTTGATTTTAACACTAACAAACGCTTAAAATCTCAAAAATAAAAAAAAATGTACTTATAATTTATAATATCAAACGATAATACTTCCAAAATTGAATTTTATTTTTTAAGTAAACAAAGATCTCTTAAGTGATAATTATATCTTTCTGTCCACAAATATTTTTGAACGAATATGAATCTTTTCATTCGAGAATTATTATGTGGAAAACTTGGTTGAAATATAAGAAGACAAATTCGGAAGCTTTTTTTATTGACAATAGACAAATGGATATAACAATCAAATTTCTAGCCAAAGCGAAACGTAAAAAGCTTAAGTGTCAAAAATGTGCTTGATACCAACATTAATATATATACAGAAAGATTGATTAATTAAGATATTAGATAAAATGTAAATTCAGGTTCTTTTGACAGTAATCAAAGAGTTACCTCAGAGAAAACAAGTAGGAATTGAAATATTTATACGAGGGTTAAACCAAAACTAGTGGCACAATGTCCATATCTTTTTTATTTTTGCCGCCATATTATCAAATGTAATATGCCAAAAAATACATATATAAATATAGTTAATCAAAATGAAAATTTTCATTGAATAATGTTAAACTGAAATTATTATATAGACGTTTAAAATATGAAACATAGGGTGTGTCGCCGCGTCACAATTAAACGTCAGTTTTCAAGTGCTATATCTAATGTAAAAGTCAAAAAATCTAAAATGTGTCCAATGTTTTAAGAGACATGGACACAGTTTTAACCGATTTTTAAAAAACAAATTCTAATGTTTTCGATTCCAAATAGCAATTTGAATGATCTGCAAAAATTTCAACATCATTTGTTGACTTACAAAAGAGATTCTGAACTTCAAATTCTTCATAATGTAAACAAGGTGCGTGCCTTGTTTTTGTTTACATTTAGAAAATGACATATTAATAACAACAAGAGGCCCATGGGCCTTATAGGTCACCTGAGCATTATGCAACAACTTTCCAGTGATTGAATTTGATTCATGTTTTAATCCAGATGCTATGGCATTCACAATTTTGAAAGAGGCCCCATTGATCATTATAACAATACACTTAGCAGTTGCTTAGTTTGTTTACTTAATACCCATAGACAGGGTAGGGGAACAAAAAATGCATTTCAAGTAATCAGTAATATTCAGCATGATCAGTAATGCCCCAATCACACATGAACCCCTGACCCTTAGGCCTAGATCCACACATTGCACAATTTTTGAAAAGGCACCCTTGTTTTTCAAAAATATTTGATTAATACCAAGGAGCATATTTCGAACAATTCATCCAGTTTCAGTATATAAGTACAGCCCCCCCCCTCCTTTATGGTACCCCTGACCCTGGGGCCTTGAAATTCACAATTCTGGAAGATTAGTACCCTTGCTCATCATAACTATATAGGTAGTTCATCTGCTTAATACCAAGGAGCAGAGAAGAAAACTTTCAAAGATTCAATGTATTTTCACTATATAATCAATAGAGCCCCGCCCTATCACTAGAACCCCTGACCCTAGGGCCATAAAATTCACATTTTTGGAAGAGGTACTCTTGCTCATCATAACTATGTAATTAGTTTATTTCATTCCTAGGAGCAGAGAAGAAGATTTTCAAAGAATTCATGTAATTTCACATATAATCTATAGAGCCCCCCCCCCCACCCTACACCAGAACCCCTGACTATGGGGCCATAAAATTCACAGTTTTGGTAGAGGCACTCTTGCTCATCATAACTATGCATTTAGTTAGTTTATTTAATATCCAGGAGCAGAGAAGAAGATTTTTAAAGAATTCATGAATTTTCACTATATAATCTATAGCGCCCCCCCCCCCCCCCTACACCAGAACCCCTGACCCTGGGGCCATTAAATTCAAAATTTTGGTAGAGGCACTCTTGCTCATCATAACTATGCATTTAGTTAGTTTATCTAATACCCAGGAGCAGAGAAGAAGATTTTCAAAGAATTCATGTAATTTCACTATAAAATCTATAGAGCCCCCCCCCTACACCAGAACCCCTGATCCTGGGGCCATAAAATTCACAATTTTGGTAGAGGCACTCTTGCTCATCATAACTATGCATTCAGTTAGTTTATTTAATATCCAGGAGCAGAGAAGAAGATTTTTAAAGAATTCATGAATTTTCACTATATAATCTATAGAGCCCCACCCCTACACCAGAACCCCTGACCCTGGGGCCATAAAATTCACAATTTTGGTAGAGGCACTCTTGCTCATCATAACTGTGCACTTAGTTAGTTTATTTAATACCCAGGAGCAGAGAAGAAGATTTTCAAAGAATTCATGTAATTTCACTATTATAATCTATAGAGCCCCACCCTTACACCAGAACCCCTGACCCTGGGGCCATAAAATTCACAATTTTGGTAGAGGCACTCTTGCTCATCATAACTATGTACTTAGTAGGTTTATTTAATACCCAGTAGCAGAGAAGAAGATTTTCAAAGAAATAATGCATTTTCACTATATACTTATTTGGCCCCGCCCTAGCACTAGAACCCATGACCCCGGGGCTATGAATTTCACAATTTTGGTAGAGGACTCAATGCTGATTACAATCATGCAAACAGTTTGACTGCTTGATGTCCAGGAGTAAAGAAGAAGATTTTTAAAGATTGCACTAATTTTAGTGGTTTTTGCCCCACCCCCCAGGCCCCAGGGGGGCAGGGACCATGAACTTCACAATTTTTGTTCCCCTTTACCCATAGATGCTATATGCAAAATTTGGTTGAAATTGGGTCAGTGGTTTCAGAGAAGAAGCTGAAAATGTTCAAATGTTAACGCACGACGAACGACGAACGACGACGGACGAAAAGTGATAGCAATAGGTCACCTGAGTTTACTCAGGTGACCTAAAAAGGAGATTCAGGAAATCACTAGAAACAGTCTAATAATGTTTAGAATTAACTTCTTTCTTGAAAATATTTAGCCATGTAAACAAAAACATGACATGAGCCTTGTTAACTACATGTAACAAAGGTTTGGAGATCTGAATCTATCTTGTATTTTGACAACTGAAATTCAAATTTTTGATTATCATTGAAACATCCTTATAGTTAAGGATATGTAAACATAAAAACTGGAAAAAAAAATTTGAAAATTTTCAGCTGAAACAGTGTCCATATCTCTTATAAAGACAAAATTTATGTGATTTTGTAGTCTTTAGTTGAAAAGAAAATGATCCCATTGCTACTTTCGAAGATATACATTGTTATTTTAATCTGATTCATTCCCCAAAAGAAATGTCCAAATGGGAAATAACGTCATAACGAGCTGTAATACATTTTTGCTTCAAAAAGGGGAAATCACAAATAGAGACAGTTACGATGATTAATCAGACTCACAGAGAAAATAATGTAAACAAGAGACTTTTTAATGGATTGTTTCATTTTTTGGAAGAGGTTTGGTCAGTGAATGATCAGAAGAGAATATCGGGCTTAAACGTTCAATAGTGTCCATTTTTTGTTGCTTTGTTTTTCTCGACTATTATGAGTTTGTTGTGACATTACTTTTGGATCAATCCTCGTATTTATATCTCTATAAAACCTTTTAAATTAAGATTCAGCAGATTAATCACAATATTAATTATAAAATTGTGTACATTGTTCTCATTGATGGAATAACCACTTTTTAAAAAAAATCTGTCGAGTGGTGATATCCTAAGTACTAATAGGTTGTTAACTGACAAAAAGCAATGGTCATTCTAGGAAATAAAGGAGAAAAAAATATTGAGTGTTTGTAAATATTATATGACTAAATGATTGATTGAAACAAATTCATTAAGCAATCAATGTCGTCTTACTTATTTACATTGGTTGACATCCCAGCTTCATTGTTAACGGTATACTCAGAGAAGCGGGGATAAAAGAGGATAAATTGGTGTTTTTATATATTTGGAATGTTAGAAAAAAAAACAATGTCAAGCACGTAGAGGATTGACCTTTAAAATTGAGGAGTAAAAGGGTAAAAATGAATGTTAATTTTAATAAACATATATTTTTCGTTTCACAAACATTTTTAGTTATTCAATCAACAAAAGGTACTTTAATTTTGTCAATTAATTCAATTGAAATAATAATCTTATTTCAATTAAACTCCAGCTGAAATTTAAGATTGTTTTGAAATGTTGGTTTTGTAATTTTACAAATATTTCATTTATTGTTTAAAAAGCCTAGTTAAAAAATATACCTTACATGTAATATTGTGAAATTTATTCTCAAGCACCAGTCGTATAAACGTTATGGCTAAGACACAGTAGAACAAAAGTAAGGACATCAGGTCAAAGGACTTGTAAAGGTTCTAGTCAAATGTTATACAAAAATCAGAACAGAGAATCATAGCAACAAACATTCAAAGTTCTTAGGTCAAATATATTGTTTTCATGGGTAAACATGAGATACAAACAAACAAATATATTTCTCTTTATACCGTTCGGAACTTTCTTTAGATAAATTGAACATAGTATCATTAGACATATTATTATCTAAATAATATTATCATATGTTTTGCACTATAAAACAGTGATATCATACATTAGAGTTCAAATCCTTATTAATTGTTATGCATCGACAAAAATTACCCAATTATCCTCTTCATTTGTTAGTTATAACAACTCGAAGATGTGCTTTGGTTTCATTAGACATTGTTGCTGTTACTGTATATCCATTTCCATTTTCCTGAACAGTTTCAATTACTGCTGTTTTTGCAGTTTTCATCAATTTATCATGGAGACCTTGATCTGCGTCCAGTCTTGTTATCTGAATTTTTAAAGATTAGTCTAGTAACATGCATCACAGCCATCTTGTATTGTCTAAATAAAGGAATTGATATAGAAACCAGCTAAGTCTAAATTATTGCATGAATTTTTTCGAGCATTAGTATTGACTTTTATAATACATTTCTTAGTGGAGGTAATGGCATACTTAAAGGTGACTCTGACTATACTTTTCAATCAATTTTCTCTTTGAAAAATAGTTCAGGTAATTTCTTGATGATTCTACCGGAATGTAAATTTCGCCGAGCGAATGTCAGGATATAAGAAGGCTTAATATGCATCTTATTCTTGTTTGACTTTGTGTCTGACTTCAGTGGGCGGGGACTATTGAAAGTGATATGGGAGACCAGGGGTAATTTGAACATATTAGACTTTTCAAAAAAAAATCTTCAATTACAATATAACTTATTAATTACAAAATTAAATGGAAAATAGGAATCGCTGTCTAGTTTGTTGATTATGCCCTGGTATATCCTACATGCAAAATAGTGATTTTATAAAACATTCGTCGACACTCTTAAGCTTTAATGAATGAAAGCTTAAATTTGTGCTTTCCTGCCCGTGCTTAACAGATGTAAGAGTATTCAAGAAATGATTTAGATTGATTAAATATTGAGAAGAGTAGTCAATATCATTTCATGCTGAGGATTTTAATCATGATAACTGGGGGATCAAGTAAAGCCATTTTTTATCTATAAACCAAAAAAAAAGAACATTTCATTAGAAAAACAGGAAATTCCGCATTTACAAGACGGTGAACGTATTATCTTTACACTAAGACATAAATTTTACCTCTACATTAAATTGGTTATCTTCCTTGAACCATACACCCCAGAAAATAGCGATGTTTTCTCCGTTTTCTGCCACTTCATATGTTAGGACACCGGATAGATTTTTATCAAAATCTAAAATGTCCAAATAACAAAGGATTAAAATGTACCTATTTTTTATTTATTCATTTATAATTTAATTTTGCTTGCATCAAGCAATTTCATTGGCTGAATCATTCAGAGGAACATATAATATTTTGTATAACATAACTTGCCTACGTCACAATGAGTTACGTCAAAAACGTATTACTCCGCTAGACGTTACTTTTAAAATAATGCGCAATTTGAAGCCTTATTCTGGAGGAAAAATTGTCTTATTGTCTATACTGAAATTAAATTATAAGGAATGAAGCTAATTTCAACTTATGTTATACGATATAACAAAACTTGGGTCAGTTTACACTTTAGATTTTTATAAACCGCTTCGCGGTTTAAAAAGCGTAAACTGCCCCAAGTTATGTTATATCGTATAACATAAGTTGAAATTAGCTTCATTCCTTAAATCTTGATAAGTGTCATAATTTTCAAGCAAACGTTCATTTGTTTCATTTTGTATAACATAAATAAACAGATTTCTCACAAAATTAAAATCTTTAAAAGATGTTTCAATTTAAATTTTTATCTGGATTTTTTAACTAAAGCTCATAATGAAATCATGGCTGTTCATGTATATTTCTGCTCCATATAGGCAAGAGTATTTTTTCAATATGTAAAAAAATCATGCAAGAAAATTATGTCTATATACAATCGTATTGTGCTGAAAGAAATAATCTCATTTTCTGTTTAATTACCCACTTAAATATAGTGCATATTAATAAATTATGTTGAGTCTTGTATGGTATAGCTTTTGTCGTTAATAAAATTTACCAACATTTTGTCGGATTCTTATAAATCATGGATAACATGCAAATGGCAATATATGTAGCAGTAAAAACGCTGAATCGTCGCCAAGTTTGATTAAATATACTCCGGTTTTTTATAGCTGCTTTTTAAATAGATTGATTGATTGTTGTTTAAAGTCCATAGGTCTCAGCTATTTCAGTAGAAGAGGAAGTTTCTTTTTACTGAATAACATCATGAACTATATGTACCTGTAGAATTTCACATAAAAATATGATAACTATTCTGTGTCAGTCAAACGCGTCTGAAAATTGGCTTTTAAACAAAATTCAGACAAATGAAAGCTTTTTAATTATATTTCGTGTGAAAGGCTTTAAGTAACATACAAGTCATTAAAGTACTGTATACATAACCTATGTTTAACTTAAATGGTTTAGTTTTTACGGAGCGATGTGAACGAAAACACAGATCTTGTTACCTCTTCCACATCACATATGAGTTGATGTATTGAATCTGTATATGTATATGTGTGAAACTGAACACTTATTCAGGTAATTTTATGTAGACCCTCTATTAATGTGCCCAGCCTTTGTTTAATTGGTGACATTGGGTTCGACGTAAAAACCATGATGTTAGAAGTTTAAACATCAAAATGAGTGCAATGGTGACCGGTTCATTGAATTTGACCCTTTTTAACAAATGAGGAACTGTACAATGAACGCAATTATATCTTTGGCTCATAAACTCATTCAATGTAACTATATACAGAAGGTAAACTCACTGGTGCCTTCAGTAGTGTACTTTAAAACTATGTCTTCGCCCTTGCAGATTGTCTCTTTCTTTGAATTCGTCTCTTTTTCATACATTTGTGGATTTATAAGCGTAAAGTCTGAGTCGTTTTCCAGGGATAACATGCAAGTGCGCTGCACCATATACATCTTCACACCAGTAACTGCAGCTGCAAGATTATAATAGAAATGGTTTTAATAGCGAGCACTGCGAGCTCTAACGACAACACCTGGGCGAAGAGAAAATTCGGACTACTGCACATTCATTCTTTGAAATTTTTTGCTGCAGTTATTTTGACCCACAATGCATCACTTAGTAAAGTTGCGTTCTCGCGAGAATGACGACAAATGTCCAACAAAAAGTTTACTCGCCTTGATTAAATGGATACATATTGAAGATAAAAAATAAACGTAACTTTTTTCATTAACTTTCAGCACTGTTCAGTTTTTTCTTGGTATTTGTAACTTACATACGACGTCGTATGACGTCAGAGTCTAGACGCACCAAATGTCACGTGCGGTTTGACGAGCCCGATCTAAATTAAAACAACAGAAGAGTTTGCGCTCGCTCTAACGGTCGCACCGTCAACATATAATGACATTCTTAAAGTTAATGAGCAGTGATTTATCATTAATATTACCCCCAGAGAAGTTTTGAAACAAAATGTCTCCAATTTAAATTGGTAAAAATTTCATGTCTTGTTTCTCCTGATTGGAAAATAACTAGCTAAATATCCAAGGTTTTACACATGAAAATGCGTGTCGTGAAGAAAAATGAATTATATTTGAATAATTTGATCCTTTGTAATCAAATAAGGAATTGTAAAGTGAACGCAATTTATAGCGAGCGCATCGAGGCGGCGCGAAGCGCCGCTCGCGTAGCGAGCTCAGTAGACTAACGTGTACGAATGGAGGAAATTCGGGTTGAAATCTGCACATTGTTCCAAGAAATATTTATGAGTCCACGTGAAAACATTCTTTATTCCCAATAATCCTTTGCGGTGCATAGGAACATGGTGGCTAAAACATAACAACAAATTACAAACAACGATTTAATGCAATCGCCATGCCATAAAACTATCGTTTGCGCTCAAGTCAACAGGACCTTTTTATCTGACGTCATTCTTTCGTCACTTCAACGGTTCGGATATTTCCGATTTTGTCGGAAACTTCCGTGAAATTCGGAATCTCGATCCCGATGCTTGGGAAGTGATTCCTTTTTACTGTTTTGTTTTCTTCTTTCTTGAATGACAGACAGTACATATGTAAGTTTATGATAGTACATAACTGCTCTCGCCCCAACGGTCACACCGTAAACCAGATTATTTATTTGTCTAGTAAATTTAAATATGATTCATTAAATTATATGCAAAGATAAACTTTTAAGATATTCAGGATTCATAATGATTAATAAAAGTCTGATGGCCTGCGCCATTCCCTGTTGATCTAACACGCCAAAGTCCGATGCTGAGGAAATTAATTAAGGTTTATTACGTCATACTACTACTGCACCAAACCTCAATGCCGCGCCAGGCCAAGGTTTATATCATCATGCGAAAACTAACCCTAATCTCTCGGATAGGTGCAAAAACTAACCCTAATCATTCGAAAAGTGTGTATAACCTAAATAATTTGGGTGGATGTAAACCTAACCCTGTACACTCGACGAGTTTTTCTAGGACTAACCCTAAATATCTCGGGTGTGAGCGAAGCAATGACTAGATCTAATCATTCGAGTGGTATGCAAGAACTAATTCTAATATCTATGGAGGGTGAAAGCAATACACAAAAGCAATAAAATTGAATGCGCGAACGAATAAAAATGATGGCTGTTGAATGCAGGACAACGGCGTCAGTGATTGACGTCGAATTATCTGACGTCATCAAAGTTAATTGTTTCTCCGCAACATCGGACTTTGGCGTGTCAGACCATTGCACTTTAGCGCATCACGTCTCATAGGAAAAGGCCATCGGACATTGGCGTGACCATCGGACTTTGGCGTCCTTACCGACAACAAACTTCGATGGCTTGGCGCAGACCATCGGGGTTTGGCGAGACCATCGGACTTTGGCGTCACCTTCAGACTTTGAAGTCCCACATATATTTTCCAAAGTGAAAATTGATCATTTTCTTCTTTAACAAAACATACTGTCACAAATGTAATTCATGGATTAATCCTATTTGGATTGAATTAAACCGCTTATATTATTGGATTCAGTTTAATTTGCATTGTAGAATCCAACTTTAATGTTTGAACATAAAAATGATGCAGAATTTTAGAAATAAAGGTCTAAAGCGAAATCTCCTTAAAAGCTTGTTTCGAACCTCATTAAGATAAATAGAATGCAATCATAAGTCACTTAAATATCATAAAAAGGTAGCAAAATTGTCGGCCGTTGATTATTACAGAGATCAGATTATCTGCAAGATAAAAATCCTCTTTTGGTTATACATAAGTTCACCTAACAAACCTTTGAAATAATGGATTTATCTCCATATAGGTGTCTAAAATACTTCTTACTAAATTAAATATATAGAGATAACTAAAGTTGATCGGTAGGGAGAGCAAAGTATTGTCTTGGGTTAGTTGCGGTTAAGTCCACTTCTACTTGTTTACTATGGCACGCCAAATTCACAAAAATGAGCTAAACCTAGTTTCACAATTGATAAACTGGGTTTATCGACTGTAAACTATAGTTAACGATTCGTTCAGTATAGTTTTCATCTGTAAAATTATATTTAACGGTTGTTAACTATAATTTACGAATGCTAATCTAAGTTTATCTGTCTGTAATAAAACGTTAACAATAGATTTTGTTGATAAACATAGATTCACGTCTGTGCACTATAATTTACGATCGTTAACTATAGTTAAGAGTTGTAAACCATAGTGTACAAATCGTGAAACTATATTTATCATATAATCTATGTTTTGCAATCGCAAATGACAGTTTTCGCTGTTAAATATAGTTTACGTTTTGGAAAAATAGATTATCGCGTTAACTATAGTTTACAGTCCGTAAACTATAGTTTACAACCGATAAACCTAATTTATCGATTGTGAAATCATGATTATCTCATTTTTGTGAATTTGGCGTGCCATAGTTTACTGCTATTTGACATGTACTTGACTGAAATCAACTGATGTTTCAATTTTAATTAATATGTAAAATAAGTAGAGTAATGGTTGCCACTGAGTACAAATTCCTTTCGCAGATTGCCCGGAATGTTGAATATATTGACGGCCAGTGACGCTGTTGTGCCACGACAGTACTCACGACATTAGAAAATAATTCTGAAGATTTTGGTAGTTTTAGACTTGTAATATTCATGCATGTTCTAACTCTGGATAAAGTCAAATAATCATAAAATGCTTATTATATTCAGTAATTGAAAAATTAGATACTATAAATGACACCATGAATGTCCTTCCTTAATTCACTTTGCAATTGAGTTTTCGGTATTTCGATCATCTTTTTTAATGAGAATATGTAATAAAGTCGTAAAAACTTTCAGGCATTGTTGGTCTGGTGTGGAGAATCAGAAGTTACATGTAAATTTTGGATAAATTGTTCATACTGTAATTCATGTTTTATGTCAATATGCAACGAATGTGGAAAACTTGAAGTTAAAGTTAGCATAACATTTCAAAAGAAGCAAAAACATTTTCAATATGGTTTAATTTGTACTATTAAAGTCAACAGATTGCAGAATTCAATATAAGACACTTAGAGATTTTGCTAATCTTCTTTCTCTAAAGCAATGCACAGAAGAAAATAAATTGCAAATTGCCCTTACACAAGATGGCTCATCTTTGTACCATCCTGGTCATACTTCTGGATCGTGCCTGAACACCGACATCATTTTAATCCAGTTCATGTGTGATACATGTGCACATTTAATACTTGAAATATTTTGGCACTTACCATCATAAATTTTCCTGGAGTCAAATTACTCACGAAGTCAGTAACGGTACCCATAATACCCGAAACTCCTGACTTTTTGGCATCAAGAAATTCATTTGCATGGTTTCTCTCTGTATCTTGAACTGAAACATTTAAGACAAAAATATCTTCTATAACGGTGCAGATAACATATTAGCAATAACAAAAGCGCAAAAGGTTTCGAATAATTTTGTTAAAGAATACACTCAAAAATTTGAACAGTATTGTCCATAGTAGTATACATTTACTAATTTTGAGCATATAAGCTACGAAAGGCCTAGCTGCACCGAGGTTCACATTTACTGTTTTAATATTGCTCCATGTATTAGCTGATGTCCTTAACCTACTGCAGTATAATTAAACTTTAACTAGATTTCACTTGTGTAGTAATTATCCTTAATTTTTAAATCATTTTATTTTATAAAATAATTTGTCCTGATTAGATAATGTTTTTTTTTAATTACTGCATAAAATGTATGGAGATAACGAACAGTATCTGAGCTTAAAAAGTCCATAAAACAATACAAAATAGGAACAGATCAAAAATAGACCTCAAAACATTAATGGTTGAATCAGGTGCCCTGAAGGAGTGAGTGTTCCCTGCCTACCGGTCACACCCGTCCTGTACTCCCTGTCACGATTGGGAAACAACGGAAGAATTCCTCGTCAATTCAGTGTATAAATTGTAGCTTAAATTATTTTATTAAAATTTTAAGCAAAGTTTATTTCATACAATTTACCCAACTTAGCACCCCCCCCCTTTTGCTTTTGTTTACGTTTACCAATATCATGCGATAGGCATGCTGATTTTCGTGTCCATCAGTCATTGGTCAGTAGGTCAGGAATAGCTAGTCACGTGAGTTCTTATCTTTCGATGGTCCCGGACAGCGTAGTACCAAGCTATCATATTGTCTTCATTAATCCATAGGATTATTTAATAATTATCGATCATCCGATTTGATGTCTGTGTATTTACTTTCACTGAACTTAAACTGTGTTTTTGACGATGTAATTCTGGGAAAAACATTTCATTAATCAGTGAAAATGTGATATCAAAATCAGCGTATCTCAAAACAACAATGGCGACCAGGAGGAGTGCTAAAAGACAAAGAACCTCCGGTGATTCTCTTGACATGACAAATTATTTAAATTGGTCCGCTGTTGGTCTTCGTGAAAAACTGTTAGAGGCCACTTTTCTACCATGTGGATCTTTCAACTCTGTTTTGCTGAGTTCAACAATTTTCGTTGTGGCGATGTCTCACACATCGGGAAGATTCTACCATGTGGATTCTTCAGTCCAGCAAGTTCTCATGGGTGACTGAGCCAGTTTTGTCCAATATTGTGCATTTAAATTGGTAATGTAAATAGTTTTAGTTGTCTTATTTGTTGTTTGTTTTTGCATTAATGTTGTAAGATAAAGAACTGCTCGTCTTGAACTATGCATATGCTGGAATGTTATTAGATAACGACATTTGAAATACCATACTTTGTTTTGTATTAGAAACAAATAATGGACTAACAATTTGTATGAAAAACGTCAACCACTCAGTGATAAATTGTATTTTCTACAAGGTCATTGTATCATTGTAACCTTCATATATATTTGAACAAATCTAGTTTGAAGTCATCATGTTGAAGGTTTTAATGGTGATACAATAACCTTGTCAAATACAACCTCTCATTGAGTCAAATGTTGACTGACGTTCTCATAGTAATTGATAGATCTTTCTCTACACACTAATTTTTCTAACGGTTTTTCCCGAACATCATAATGAAAAAGGAGGACAGGGAGGGGGTGTGACTGGGCGGCAGAGAAGGCTTACTCCTTCATGGCACCTGATCCCACAATTGATATTTACAAGGTCCATGTTTGCTCTGCTTCTATTTTGTGTTGCTCTGCTCCCAATTTAAATTCTTAAAATAGAATTTGAGCATTGGTAACTTTTCGTCATAATCGATATTTAATTATCATTCCACAATGATAATTTTCTTTTTCCTGTAGAGAATGGTGATGCATTTTTTCTATAGGGAATGAATCACATTTTTATGTCGAATATATGGGCCTGGGGGAATGTTGACATCAAGTTATAAAATGGAATGTTTTTGAACGTTGATAGTATTAAAACTCATTATACAACAGGAGTCATAATCTTAGAGTGAAAAGTATCTCTGAGTCAACATAAACGCTCTGATTTCGTAACATTTTTGAGTTCGCAGATTTAAAGACAATCTTATAGATTCTTTCGATTACCTCTGTATGTCCTAAGTCCACTTCAAGTTGTTGTTGAGAGTTAGGATGTCCCAAAGGGAAAAAGAGGCCCATTTACATTAAAATCTATCAAATTTTATAACTAACGTTTAGTACATCGTGCCTATAGTGGAAAGGTGTAATACGTACTTGTTTCTTGAACTTGATTTTTGCTGAAAATTTCATCCTGTTTATCAGTTGTTCATTGAACTCAAAACTACCAGTACGAAAAGAAGTTTTATGAAACAATCTGTAGATAAGATTTCTAAAGAAGTGAGGTATTTCATAAACGTAATGTGCGGACCAATAGTACATTATTTTAATTTTTATAAAAACCTTTCTTTCAGATTTTATGCAGATTTATAAAAAAAAACAGGGTTTTATAAAAAAAAACAGGGTTTCACGGTCGCACGAGGTATTCTTTTCAGCAATTGTTGTAACAAATATTTGTTTTTTTTTGTGAACAAAGTAATTATTGTATTGTTGAAACAAACCTTCGACATCTACTTTAAGCGATCCTTCTATCCAGCCAAAATCGTAGGAAATTCGGCATTTATAAATTCCTGCGTCGTGATGGGTCAACTTAGAAATGCAAATGGACGGATCTTCACTTGTTCCCTCTGAAATTCGTCCCTTTTTAACAATCTCGGTATTGTTTTTATACCAGATAACTTCATTTGGATGAGGAATGGGAGGCCTGCATTTTATAACGAGAGTTGCTCCTTCAAAGCATAATTCTTTATGTACAGACAAAATTTCCGTTGTACAATCTGTGGAAAGATTGAAAATACTTTAGTTCTTTGTTTAATTCAGGATTCCTCTTTTACTTCTAAGTCGGAATAATTCTTTTGCACAAACTGCTTGACAATTTCAAGTCAATTAAATTATGTCTGTCTCATTTTTGATAGATACGCAGTTATCAAGGATCTAAATGATATTTGATGTGTTTGATACTAAACCTCAACAGTTTCACTTTTATCATAAATTCCAATGGGCCAAAAGAAAGACCTAAGTAAATTTTGTTCTTTTTTTCTTTCTTCTCTAGAAGACCCCATTAATACACGGGCATATTTGATTTACAAGATGTATCTTCACCTTAAATCCATTCAAGAATGCAAATGTTGTTTGTTAGCTTCCGTTGATTCTTTTGGTTTCATTTCTCATTTGGTTTTGAAATGAGTTTCAATCATTTTTGATGAATTACCGGTATTTCAAAAGTGAACGTTATTTCAGTAGTGGTTGCAGCTTGTGCTGGGATTTGAAATATACTTTCAACCATAATGAAAACATTTTTTTTCAATAGTGGTCGTTATTTCAACAGCGATTGCAATGGTTGTGCTCAACGTTCAACCAAATCTGTTTTTTTTCTTTTTCGTAAATGTGCAACTGATCTATTATATGCAATTGTCATGATTATGGGTAATGAGTAAAAGAAATAAAACAGCCGTGAGTATCCGACAATTATTGCAGATCTTTGAAAACATAGTTCAACTTCTGAAAAGACTGGAGAAGGGGTCACAATAATTTTAACAATTTTTAATGTAATATTTTAAAAACACCAAAGTAGTGAACGGGTTTTTGGCCCGTCTAGTTCAGTTAACACCCCCCTCTCCCCCCACCCCACCCCACCAAGTTTGAATACGTATGATTATTTATTTTATTTACTTTTCCATTTATCTATATCATTACAATGTATTCTCTGTTGTAAGATGAACTGTATTGAGATAGCTCGTAGTGTGCAGGAACCTAAATGAATGCCAGTAATATCTTCAATTCGCGATAGCGATAAACACTGTGCCGGATAATTATGCCACTTCAAAAGTGGCATTTTGGCGCCAGCCAAATTCTCATTTCAAATAAAAACCATGTATACTAAGTGGTAGACCATCACTCACAGAGTTCATAACTACCTTTGTTATATCTAACCTATTGGCAGGATTCAAAATTTTCTGCCTTAAATCTTGTTTCTCCTCCCAAAATTTGATCATGAAAACTGAACTTGTGGTTCCTATAGTTAGTATGTTAAGAGAGCTTGCTCATTTGTTTCTTAAAACATGGCAATAAAAGACAAAAAAATTAATAAAAGAAATAATACATGCCCTTGATATTAATCATTACTTCTTCTGATGTCCATTTGAACCCTGCCTGATGAGTCACTTCACAGCTGTATTCCCCTTTATCACTAGACTCAAGGTTGCACAGTCGCAGGAAGGGGCAATCGTCTAACCAACCAATGGAATGTTTTGACGTCGATGTTATTTCCTTTTTATTTTTGAACCACTTCATTTTGTGTTGCTTTTTTGGGATACTTTGACAAAGGATAGTTACAGTAGCACCTTTGATAAGAATTTCATCTGGTGGAATTTTCAGTTCTAGAATAGGTGGATCTAAATGCCAAAAATTGAAAAACCATTAATTACGTTTTATGCCAAATTACATTTTGCTCATTTCAGAATAATTTAATTTTACTTGTTACATGTCATTTGTCATCACTAAATTGACAGATTTTGATGGGAGTACAACATTGGCCCAACGTTGGGCCCATATTTGTGAATCACGTTCTTATTTTGTTGTAGTTTGTTGGGCATACAACGTTGGCCCAATGTTGAGTCAATGTCAACATAACACAATTTTACTCAGAAGCTGAGGTGAGGACACTTCAATGGCCTAACGTAGAACCACTGTTTACAACGTTGGGTTTACAACATTGGCCCTACAACGTTGACCTAACGTAAGGCCACTGTTGTAAGCTTGTCACCACTAAGCTGACAGATTTTGTTGGGAGTACAACATTGGCCAACATTGGTGCGTCACGATCTTATTTCGATACAATGTTTTGTATAGACAACGTTGAACCAACTTTATCTTTAATTAAATGATTTTGAGAATAACATATTATAAATTGAAATAAACTTGCATATTTTAAAAAATATAAGACGAACAAGACACACACTTTATAAAGTGTTGCATTTAGGGGGCATATTCTAAGATAAAAGAACATTTTCTGACCAAACAATTAGGTCAGGGTTTTTCACAGCGCAAGACTGGCCAGTTTCTATGGTAATTGTGATATCTGATAGGACAGGATGGTCAAATCTGCATCCTTTTAGCAAGCCTAACATTTTAATCTCGGATGTTTCCTACAGAAGAACATTTAAGATTTTATGTCAAAAAGAAATAAAGATTTGCAATCTTTAATGTGGATTAATTTTTTGAGCAATGTCCAGACATTTCACATACGAATCGAAATGTAAGTACTATATTTACCTCAAATAACATGCATTTCAGATTTTAGAACACAAAATGCAAAGTTTGTTTCATGCCATCTTTATCTTTTTCTAAGTTTGCTTTAGTTCTAAATTAAATATGTAACTGGATCAGTCGCTAAACACTGTATCCTTTCTGTATAAAACTTGTATATAAAATGTATTATTGATCTAACCTGTGTCAATTATTATTACCTTAATCAAAATCTAATTTATAAATTTTATTTTTAAATATCTTTGAATTTTTGCATAGGTCAGTTTCGTTTTATAAATTTCCCTTATATTTCTACCATTAAAAAACAAATTTTGGAATTGTTACTTTGTGATTTAGGGAAATCAAATCCCTTAGGATTAAAGTTCTCATTTTATTTAATTAGTGGAAACAACTTAGTAAATGAAAAGGAGAGTATTTGCTGCCATGTTTTAAAGAATTCCATTGGAATGCAAATAAAGATACAGGCTTTTTCAAAGATGATGTGGATTTAAAACGTAAGTAATAAAATACGTACTCTGTACCCCTGAGAAATGCTATAGTTATACATTATAATAAATGCAGAAAATAATATAAATAATATATCTAAATATTCAACAATGGAGGACAGTTATGATTATAAACCTGTTAACAAAATGTGTATATACGTTAAATTAGTGCAAAACTTTAAAAATTTATTCTACTAGATACAAAGGACAAGGTAGGGTAAGACCAGCGGTCACAGTGAGGTCAGGAATCAGGCCAATTTTCGAAATCTCTCATTTTTATGCAAATTTTAATTAATTTTACTGCACATTTTCTTTCGGAAAACATATAGCACACGCTTGCCTACCTACCAAATTCATATATATAATACAGTGATATCAGATGCAGTTTTTGTATAAAAATCTCAGATAGGCAAGCTTGTGCTCTATGTTTTCCGAAAATGAATGTATCCCAAATATGGTGTAATTTCACCAGAATTGAGGAAATTCGGGAAAATGTCCTATTTCTGCACCCTCTAGTGGCTTCAATGTAAACTTTGAATCCAAATTAGTGCTTGTCTTAAAGTAAGCATCATTTTAACTTCTTAACAACAAACTATCACAATTTTAACAGTGTTCTGATTTTTATATCAAATAAGGTGCCAGATTCGGCTGTTACCCTATCTTGTCCTTTCAATTTAAATTAGAGGAAAATTATTTGTTGTTTTAACTGTATCAAAAACACATTTGTTATTCTATACTTTCATTTACTTTTCTTGTATAGAAACAATAACATTAATCACTGATAATTTATTTTGTCATGATAAATCGCAATAAGTTTAACAAGCCTCATAAATTTATTTAAGCTAACTTGTATTTTCAAGTGGAATTGGTGGTGTATTTTTTCTGATTTTAGAGACGATCGGATTTGTTAATATACAAGTTTGTAACAATAAAATGTTTATATACATTGGGCCAATGTTGGTCCAATATATCAAGCCAACATTGGGCAAATGAGCAAAATGACGAATTAATTGTGCCAATGTTGGCGCAACGTTTGGCCAATATCTGCAGAAATAACACTCTACATTGGGCATTGTTGGCTTATTATATCGGGCCAACATTGGGCCGATAAGCAAATTTACGTTGGGCCAATGTCATTTGCCAACATTGGCCCAATGTAACTGATGACATTGGACCAATGTTGGCCCAATGGAAGCATGATATCTGTGGTCACCCTCTGTCATCAGCATCGGATGACATAACACTCCAGGGCTTTCCTGTCACCTCGGAGCAAATGTTCTGGTATGTCACCCTCGAAGCCATGTGATAAATGTATAATATCTCACTAATAAAAAATTATAAATGTGTTTTATACTCTCGAAAGTTTCAATACCTTTTATTTTTAATACGACTGCATCTGATTTTATTTTAGTTCCCGACTTCAATGTAACTTCACACATGTATGCTCCTTCATTTTCCGTTTTCAGATCTGACAGCGTCAGAACTGCGCTTGGGTGCTCTAGAGGAAGTGGACGACCATATCTTAACCATTGTATTTCTTCGATTTCCGGTGGAATGCCATTGCATTCGATTTTCACTGTGGCGCCATTGTAAAGTATGTCTTCAGATGGTTTCTGAAGTTTTAGTGAAGGAATATCTGAAACAACAAAAACAGTTTCACAAACGCCAAGAGCTACAATTTAGGGAGCTATTTTTGTTGCAAAACAAAGTATGTATAAGCAGAATATGGTGTCTCAGCCTGCGGCTTTTTTGAATTCATACTTCATTGAATGTAACATCTTGCATTTAAGGATAACCATTTAAACCAAAAGTCCCTGAGTAGACTCTAACTAGTACTGTACTGTTTTTACTTATAATAGAAAAAGAGACAAGCTAATTCAGAGAATTCGTGTCCCCCGCTTAGGGAAAAAGTCGGCTCCCCCTGACTGAATTTGTAGAATTATTAAATGTATACATGTATACTGAAGGAAATAAAATACATGTATGTCAATATGCATATAAAGATTTGATTGCTTATTCTTTATTATGTGTATAGAAGATTTTTTTATATGGAATATTTATCACACTGTAATGATGATTTTATAACCTCATAAATTTTTCATTTTACATGCTGAATACTATCATTTAGTTAAAAAAAAAGTATTTAAAAAAAAAAAAGAAAAAAAAGAAAGGTTCGACTGAGATTCGATCCCGGGCCCTCTCACATTTGAAGCGAGAGCCATAATCACTAGACCACGTAGTCGCTTTACATGGAGTGAAGTATATGCAGAACTGAAGTCACATACATGTATATATTCATGTTTTCATGTTCGGTATTCTCAAAATTTTACACAATCCATGGTGTTTGATTTATTTAGCCTTTATTAAACAGTTATAATAGATGTAATAAGAACATAAAGTCCGCCGAGAACCTGTTTTATACGCAATAACTCTCCTCATGCCCCTGCGCTAAAAATAGCGACATGTAATACTATAAATACTAATAAAACAAACGGGGCGGGGCACTTTGAGAGGGGCGAGAGACGTCCTAGGGAGTTTTGGTATAAAATTACATTGCATAAGCTCAAAATCTTCTTGAAATATCGCCCGGAAATGATAGTGTTACACACAGACAGAATGTATAAATTTACGACCTTGAACTTTGACCTTTTGACCTCAAAATCAATAGGAGTCTTCGTTAGGCCACAGGGAGTTGTTATGTAAAATTTCATTGCGATAGCTCAAATGGTTCTAGAGATATCGTGTGGAAACGAAAGTGTTTTAACAGACAGAATTTGCTTATTTATGACATTGACCTTTGACCTTTTGACCTCAAAATCAATAGGGGTCTTCTTTAGTCCATAGGGAGTTGCTATGCTAAATTTCATTGCAAAAGCTCAAAGGGTTCTCGAGATATCGTGTGGAAACGAAAGCGTTACAGACAGACAGAAAGACGGACGGACGGACGGACGGACGGACAAACCCAAATTAATATCCCCCACTTTTCAAGCGGGGGACAAAAAGTGACTCTTGGACTTAAATCATTACAATAGCAATTAATACATAATGTTCCTTAGAAGAAATTTACGGAAATTTCAATTTTAATAACCTGGGCGACATCATTTAAAAAAAACCAAACAAACAAAATAAAGATTATATTTCTCTGTGTGAAGTGTATTTGTCATATATATACATTGTATATATATATATATATATATATATATATATATATATATATATATATATATATATATATATATATATATATATATATATATATATATATATATATATATATATATATATATATATATATATATATATATATATATATATATATATATATATATATATATATATATATATATATATATATATATATATATATATATATATATATATATATATTATTATTATTTTTTTTTTTCTTCCTAATACACCTGTGTATAATTATTTGAAAAGTTGTTGCATGTTATGTGCAGATGCACTAACTAGATTGTTTTCAACAAGTCAAGAAATTCAGTGAGAATGAATTTATTAAAACCTTTCACTAAATGTTACAAAATGACGTAAAATACCGACACTTATCAAAATCATCGCACACCTAATCATCAACTAATCAAAGGCGATTCCCGATACCCCAATTCCCACAGTAAGAAAAGATTATGCAAAATGTAAGCAAATAAAATATGATATCAACTTTATTAAAAAAAAAATAAGTTTCATAATGATTAAAAATATTGATTTATTGATAGTATATTGTTTAACGACCCTCTCGAGAATTTTTCACTCATATGAAGACGTCACCTTGAGCCGGTGAAGGGCTTCAAATTTTGAGCAGTGAGGGATCTTTATCGTGCCAACGCCTGCCGCTGACACGGGGCCTCGGTTTTTAAGGTCTCATCCGAAGGACCCGTAACATTCACTTCAAAGTGCCGAGCGCATGGCGAAGGAACAGATGCTACCCATTTTATCGCTGCTGAGATACGAACTCACGACCTCCCGATCTCGGAGCTCTACCGACTGAGCTACCGTGAACGATTTTAAAATATTGAAAAACAACCCATTAAACAAATTGACGTAAACAACTTTTAAAATCTAAAAAAGGGACATTATGGGAGATCGCACTACTGGAATAAAACCATCGATAACATATCAGGTAATAGGAATTTACCAATTTATCACTTGATAAACACCGTATATGTTGTCATAAAATAAGCATGATAATGTGAATAGATATTATATAACAAACTTCTTTTTCAAAGAAAATTAACGCTTTTTATTTGATGTGAATGCCATATAAAGTGCAGGATTTTTTGTGTTTAAATCAAACTTGCCTTTACAAGATGATTAATTGAAATAAAAATATGTTTTACGTATGTTTAATTAAAAAAATTCAATAAAAATGGTCCCGCCAACTTAGCGTAAGTAAGCTTTTAAAATGCAAGCTTGCGACGAAATAAGTATCAAAACGAAGAAAGGTAACGCTAAAGTTTTCTTTTGTTAACATTTTTTCGAGAATCCTCTTTGATTAAAAAATATAGGCTACCTGTGACTCAGTATTGTAACACAATGTCAGATCCAGTTATTTAAAAGTGCTTTTTATTAAGACTCGGCAATGTTGACGTTTTTCATACTAATTGTTAGTCCATCATAAATATACTGAATTGACGACGGATTTTGCCGTTATTTTCCGATAAAAACAAGGAGCACACGGCGGATGTGACCGGTTGGCAGAGGATACTTACGCCTCCATGGAACCTGACCCCACCTCTGATGTTTGTAATGTCCGTGTTTGCTCCGCTACTATTTTGTTTTGTTTTATGCACTTGAATACTGTTTGTCATCTATTATGTTTCATGCATCTAAATGTGGTCTTCTTGTGTGCTAAATAATACTTAAGTCAGATCAAATAGAAATATAAGCATTTTAATAGTGTTTCAAGGAAATTTCTATTTTTGATTAACATGGCAACGTCCTTTATTGAAAGCGAAACAAAAAAACACAGAATGGTGTATCTTAGTATAATGTACCTGTGTGTTATATGGGGGTATCAAAATCACGCTAAAACTGTGGAAGAAGTAGTTTTATAAAATTATTTTATTCATATGAATCAAAATTTGTGCAAAATCTTCTGCAGACGTTGATTCCATACGCAAGAGTGTGCTCTACGTGATAAAACTGCGAAATCTGATATCGATATACAGAATGATGTATATGATTGTAAGCCTACTTTTATGCCAAGTTATTTTGAAATCAGATCAAAACTGCAGAAGGAGTTGCATTTTGAAAATATTTCACAGAATTTGTTTTATTTACCATGTCAAAACTGTTCATTGAAATAAAAAAAGGACTTACAGAATAATTATAAATGTATGCCTTAGTTTGGTTTATTTGTGTGTCAAGTTATATTGAAATCTAACCAACACCGTAGGAGAAGTAGGTTGAATGTTTTTCCCATTAATCTCTATCAAATATAAAACATTGGCAACACCATTGATCGAAATCAAAAAACAATTAGCACAGTGTAGTCTACATGTTTGCACATTTATATTGAAATCAGAACAAAATCGTTGGAGGAGTGAAGTTTTTTGAAAATTTGTACAAACAGACGGATCGACGGACACACAACAGATATCTTATTATCGCATAAGATCTTCTGTTCTCTGACTCTGACCCGTAAAGCTAAAATCAGGCATTGCTGGGATCCACTTCAGAAAAACAAATAATAGGCCTAGCATAGATAGCATAGAACTACCTAAAATCAACATTAGCCTACCAAGGCCTATCATACTACTTGTAAATACTTGATATTATTTCAAAGCGTGTTAGAGTACAAAAGGATTTAACAAGAGAAATGTAAAAAAAAAACAAAAAAAACATTTATTTATCATAGAAGCAATTAACGTTTGGAAATTGTAGTGAAGTCTATAGAATCAAGTAAATTTTTGAAACTAAAAATATTAAATACTTTGAATATCAATGAATGCTGTGGTGGAGAGATGCATTTGACAATAAGGAATAGAAAAAATATACAATTTTATTCCCCCGATAGATTTTTACAATTGATCTTTCTTGAATAAAATAAAAGAATAACTCTTCAAGGACAGGACAAGGTCATAAATTTGGACACATTACGCACTTTCATACTGATGCTAAAACCGAAAAGTATTTCTATATACCATCTATACCGTATACGGAGTATTTATCCCATACATATCTGTTATGGAATCAGTTCCATTTAATCTGAGGTTATTATGTATTGGATACCTTAAGACATTGACTATGCTTAAGTATGGGTCTTTCTACAAGAAAAATCCATGTATGAAATCAAATCGTTTAAATGATTTCATTTTTATGACTATAAATATTGTGGGTTTTTTTTTTAAGTTTGCTAAATTGTTTTTGTTTTTTGCAAAAAGGTAGATATGCTTTTTAAAGATAGATGAACGCTAAACATATAAAAAATTGGAAATTAAAAAAGTAACGAAGATTTCTGTTCTGTAAAAATTTATTGATTGATTGTATATTATTTAACATCCCTCTCGAGAATTTTTCACTCATATGGAGACGTCACCGTATGCCGGTGAAGGGCTTCAAATTTTGACCTATACTCGGCACTCAGGGCCATTGAGCAGTGAGGGTCCTTTATCGTGCCAACACCTACCGTGACATAGGACCTATGAGTTTCACTTCCAGTGCCGAGCGCTTGGCAAAGAACAGTCACTACCTTTTTTAACGTCTTAGGTATGACGCGGCGCCGTGAACGAGAATCGAACCCAGGCCTCCCGATCACGAAGCGAACACTCTACCACTAGGCTACTGAGACCGGTTTGTAAAAATTGAAAACATAGATTGAGAAGTTATTTCAATATACATTAAACATTATAATATTAAAATTAAAATTACAATGCTATTACTAGCATTCTATTTACTACTTTCCGTAGAATCGACCTAACTAAAAAAAGGCAAAGGCACTTAAGCATTAGGATAACAATAACCAGCAACTAATTAGCAAAGGAGGCATTCAAATCAGCAGGCAAAGAATTTTTAAATAGTATCGATGCTGGAACGAAATTAATTTCATGCACGCACTGTATTTGTTTTCTAGAATTTTGATGTACCTTCAGATCCAACTTGGTTCTGTGAAAAAAGGAAATAAATTGAAATAAACGAAACAACTTATGACAAATTGTTTCACATAAAGTTGTACATATTTACATACATTTACACATGTACACGTCTTTGTAACGCAAACTCCCATTCTCGTTTGTCGGGTAATCACACGGGTCGAACCTTTAAAATAGTAAAATGATAGAATCACTTATAAAAAACATAGGCTGATGGAAAATCAAATACAAAATACATTGTAGCATTTATATTCAATGATGCTGAATAAACATAAAATCAATTGAGAATTTTTTTTATATAAATATGGTATACACATTCATTATGACTAATCGCATGATTCTATTGAAAGAAAAACATGCAAACGACCAAAGCAAAAATTTGAGAGAAAAAAAAAAGAATGATTCTCTTTCAAGCACAGTATGGGACTTCTCTATAAAAGAGGAATGTAGCTAAATTTAATACCAAAGGAACTTCTGTGCTAACCTTAAAACACCGTATCGTTAAGGCCTGCTCTATGTTATTCCAGATACATTTTGTAATTAAACAAGATGTGTTTGTTAAACACTGATGCCCCCGTATGGCAACATTTTGAAGATTAAACTTTTCTTAGATGCAAATTTAATATATTGGTACCCAAAGAAGGGTCTCCTAACTGGAAATACAATTGTAAAACATGAAAGCCCTATATCCATCTGTTCCCAAGTTATGGCAAGGCCTAAGTTTTTTTCAAAAGTACAGAAATCTTCAAGATCAAGGTCAGAAGGTCAAGGTTATTGGTATCCAATAAAAGGTCTTTCCACAAAGATCACATCTTTGAAGTATGGAAGCCCTAGCCCTAACCATTCAAAAGTAATGGCCAAGGTTAAAAAGATTATATTAGTATGTTATACTCCAGGATCAAGGTCAAAAGGTCAAGGTTTTTGGTATTGAATGAAAGGTCTTGTCACAAGAATTACATATCTGAAGTATGACAGCCCTAGCCCTTACTCTTCAAAAGTTATTGCCAAAGTTAATGTTTTTTCATAAGTCTGGAAATCTCCAATGTCAAGGTCAAAAGGTCAAGGTTATTGGTATTTAATAAATGCACTTGCTACAAAGAATATAAATGTTAAGTATGGAAGCTCTAGCCCTAACCGTTCAAAAGTTATGGCCAAGGTTAAGATTTTTTTAAAAGTATGTCAAACTCTAAAGTCAAGGTCAATGGGTCAAAGGCCTTGATATCAAATGAAAGGTCTTGTCACAAGGATTAAATATGTAAAGTATGAAAGCACACTAGCTCTTACCCTTAAAAAGATATGATCAAGATTTATTTTTTTAAAGTAGGTCAAACTACAAGGTCAAGGTCAAAAGGTCAACGATCTTAGTATCCAATGAAGCGTCTCCTTACAAGGATTACATATGTGAAGTATGAAAGCTCTATCCCTTACTGTTCAAAAGTTATTGCCAAGGTTAAAGCTTTTGCGGACAAACAGACAAACAGAGAGACAGTCTGTCCGTCCGTTACAAAAACTTTAACCTTGCCCATAACTTTTGATTTATATTTCATATGTTTATTCCTTGTGACAAGAACTTTCTTTGGGTACGACTAAATTTGACCTTTTGACCTTGACCTTGGAGTTTGACCCACTTTTAAACAAAAATTCCAAACTTTTAGTTTTGGTCCTAACTTTTGAATGGTAGAACTAAGACTTTCATATTTCACATATGTATTCTTTGTAGCAAGACGTTTTATTGGATACCAACAACTTTGATCTTCTGACCTTGACCATGGAGATTTCCGTGCTTATGGAAAAACTTTAATCTTCACCATATCTTTTGAATGGTAAGGGCTAGGGCTTCCATTCTTCATATATATAATTCTTGTGAGAAGACCTTTCAAAGAATACCAAGAACTTTGCCCCTTGGACCTTGACCTTGGATTTTTACCTGCTTAAGCCCTCTGGCTGATATTGGAGTCTCGGACTGATACAGGATGTGATATGGAAAAGGGAATGTATTATTCTATAAATAAAGAACATTTATATTTTGCAGCACAACTACATGCCTGTTACTCTTTTCTTTTGATGTCAAGAACCCTTTCTAAAGTCTTATGATCCTTATGTAACCAATGATAAATTCCTGGACGAAGCCACAATGTCATAAAACTTATATAAAATTTTGGGTTCATAAAATAATAACGTCTTTGCTTGCTATCAAAATTGGGATTCTTAACGTCATATGATATGTCCTGATTCCGATCAACAATTGCTTAAGAACTATCTCACAGTTAAAGATCCTTCTCGTCCTTGGTCCATACTTCTGTTTGTTTGAATTTCTTTTTCAATGTGTTCAACTCTATTGAATGTTTATTTACACAGGTAAGATAGATTTGATTTATTGTGAAAAGTGAAATGAATGAAACCTGCATAACACATAAACAAGCAGATTAAAGAAACGCTGTATTTTAAATTTCAAAGGATGACTGCACTTAACTCTGTATTTTTGGTCTTTTTTGGTCGCTTCTGTTGCTTTTAAATCTTCACCTAAGTTCAATTTTATATCTGTCTGTCAATTAGACACCCAATTTAAACATTAAAAATATTTTTTGACTAATGTAATAAATAATTTCACGTTTTTTCTGATCGTATTCCAAATACAGATTCAGATCATTTAAACTTACCTGCCCTTGATTGAACATTATGTTTGTATGAGAGTTGGAGCTAATATATCGTAAGAATGGAACAAAAATTAGACTTGGTAAATGACAATGATTTGTATTGAAATCTCGACTAAGTCGTACAAAAATTGTATTCGAATTATTTTTTATGAATACATGTATAAGATATTGTAAAATATAAGAATAATGTTAATTTACAGACTGATGTAGATTAATACTAAAGAACAAGGTATCATTTCAATACAAATCTTGCCCTGTGATTTTCTAAAAAAAAAAAAAATGAAATAAATTTGAGACCTCATAAACATGTGCATTTCCCCGTATTTTCTTAAAAAATTCACTTTCAATAGAATTTTCTTTCAGATAATATTGTTCACAGGCATCGCCCACACAAATTTTGAGATACTTAATTTTTCATTGAATTTTGCACAACATATCCAAAAAAAATGTGGGCGACAGCCGTGGACACTATTTCCTGAAAGAAAATTACCCCTGAAATGGGTGCTTTTGATTTTTTTCTGCTTAAAGTAGAGAAATGCATAAAATTAATGACGTTATGTTTCTAGAATGGTACTCTTTATGCCATATTCTTTTCTGATCTATCACAGTCATAAACTCGACTAATATTTCAGCCGGTTTCAAAATTTTTTGAAATCATTAAAGTGTTAGGACAGGATAAAGCTAAAACCATACCTTCTTGTATACAGGCTGCAGACAAGACAATTGCTACATCAGAGGCGATGGCTTATTTCAATATTATTTGTAAAAAAACAAACTTGTGTATTTTAATGTACACGTATATCTTATAGATGATTTCATTATACTGATTATATACAAGCAATTGCACAAGCTTTCCTACTAGTATAAAAAATGTTTCTTTTAAATGAAATATACATTTGATCATTCCTATTGATAAACTAACATAGAAAAAAAATGGCAACGGACAAAACTAACCTGTGATTTCTGTTTTAAGACGACCCCGAGATTCAAAATTATCTATAATATGCTTCAATTTCTTTTAAATGAAATATACATTTGATCATTCCTATTGTTATACTTACATAGAAAAAAAATGGCAACGGACAAAACTAACTTGCATTTCTTAAAGCATCTTGTCTTCTATAGGCTGTCAGTTGCATATTGCATTGAAAATGAGTCTTTTCATTATATTTTAGATGAAAGGACCATTTTGATATGTCAAACATTACAAATATGGCATATTCCGGCTGATGATCATGGCTTCACACAAGGGAACACAAAAGAATGTGATCGCCAACCAAAACTTTTCAAAATTTAATGAGGACATCAAATACTTGTGCATCAATCTTTGTATGGGATATTGAACACTGTAAAATTTAAAGTTATTCTTGGTTTTGGTTAAAACGTCAAATTGTAGTCATTGTGTAGCCATCCCAACCCTACCCAAGAAGAAGATCTGACAATATGTGACAACTTTAGAGGAATATCACTACTATCAGTGCCATCTAAAGTGTTTTGCAGAATAGTGATTTACAGAATTAGAGATGGATTAAAGGACAGACCAAGACCAGAGCAAGCTGCATATAGAAGAGGAAGAGGAACCTCAGAACAGATTTACATTCTAAGAAATATTTTAGAACAATCTATAGAATGGCAAGCACCATTGTACATAAACTTCACAGAGTTTTAAAAAAGCCTTTGACAGCATAATAAAAGAGAAATTGTGGGATATACTAAGGCAGTGTGGAATTCCGGGCGTCTCTGTGGACATCATCAAGAAATTGTACGATGGAAGTTCTAGTTGTATCATAGAGAATGGAAGAACAACAGACTGGTTCAAAGTACAGACAAGAGTGAGAAAAGGTTGTGTTATGTCTGGGTTCCTGTTCATCATTGTGGTAGACTGGATAATTAGAAATACCAACAATAAGAAGAGAGGCATGCGTTGGAAATTTATGTCTACTTTAGAAGACCTGGATTATGCAGACGACCTTGCACTTATTTCCAGCAAACACAGCGACATGCAGGAGATGACCATGAGATTACATGCTGTCGCAGAATATACAGGCCTAAAAATTAACGTTGATAAAACAAAAAGCATGAGAGTAAATGTGAAGAAGAAGGATGCCATCAGGTTGAACGATAAAGAAAGAGAAGAGGTCGAAACATTTCTCTACCTTGGTGCTCTAATGGACAAGACCGGAGGAACTGAGGCAGATATTGGGAGAAGGCTAGGCTTAGCCAGGACCGCCTTTGCATCCCTTGCCAAGGTATGTAAGTCAGCAAAATACAGCACAAAGACCAAGCTTAAGATCTTCATTGCAAACGTTCTATCTTTGTTGCTGTATTGTGCTGAACTATGGAGAACAACAGAAAAAGATGGTGAAAAGCTTGATACATTGCACTGAAAATGCCTTAGGAGGACCCTTAAAATACACTGGCCTGAAAAGATAACTAACCAACAACTATATGAAAGAACAAGATCCATACCTCTATCAAGCACTATCAAAAAGGAAAAGATGGAG